TCGCTCGCGCATCATACTAACTGCATTGTATTTTCAATTCCAAGTGAATACATGTTAGCCTTGTAGCATTCATATTCCATGTTTAGAATAGCCGAGCCTGCTTATAGTTGCATTTTTGCATGTTTGCATTAGGCACTTCTTCGTATAGTAGATCATGCATAGATTTCTAATTCAGCTTCTATTTGGCTTGATACTCGGTAAGTTTTATTCTTTAGCATCCTGCATGCGTGAGTGATGCCATGAATAGATGCTACCATGAGGCTATTATTCTTATGTGATATAACTGCCGGATGCCTTGTGGGTGAAGGTTGGGTATTGAATTGGAACCAATTCATCAAATGTGTGTTTTAAGCCCACTAGATAGTGAGCAAAATTCATGTTTTTCTAAGCCCACCCGAGGGTGGCAAATCCACGTCTTAGACCTACTGCGGGTAGCACTATTCAAACCATTTTCAAGAAATAAAAAACATGAAATGTTTTGCTTCCAATTTCAGACGATCCAGTCTATCTTGTAGCTGTGCGCATCACATAGCAAATCTAGTGCTTAATAAACGGAATAAAGAACGCATAAATTTTTCAAAACTAGATAATCATGTTAGTAGAGGTCGATCTTTGATCGGGCGAGCGGGGGTGCTCACGAAGTGACCTTCCCCAATCGTACTCAAATTCCCGAGCCGAGGCAACTTTGGTAATGACGGACACGTGGCCTTAGGCAAACGAGTCAGGGTTTCTTAAATTTCTCCAAAATAAAGCATTTAGGTGGCGACTCTGTATCTGGCAAAGCAGTCCATGTTTGGCACTTCTTTAAAAATCTGTTTTCTCAAAACGATTTGCCGGATTTGGACTCTTTGGTTCAGATTTAGAACCGTGACAATTTGAGAGTCCGAACTGTAGTGAACCCCAAATGAACAGAACGGGACTCATCCCTCCCGGGGCGTTTGGGGACGTCTACAGTGGGATGTCATATCCAGATGGATTGTTAGTCCGTACTTCAATTATTTAACCAAACATCGAATTAATAATTTTATTAGATTATTAGTCCAATCCCAAACTCATATCTACCTAAACAAACATAACCTTAGTTATATTATATTTTTTTTAGTTGTGATCAATTTTTTTTTAGTTATAATATTATTTTAATAATATCTCATTTTGTGTTTAGTTATGATATTTTAAAAAAAAAATTATGACTCAAAAAATTAAAATTATATCATTTTTATTTTTAGGTATAAGATATATATAGTGTACACTCTTTGAGAGGTATGCACCCTAATATGTCCCTATTTGGTTATTTGTTAACAGTGTTCCTTGTTTTTTAATTTTGTAATCATTTACATTCTTGTTGAGAAAGACTATGGTACACACTAGTCTATTTCAAAATAATATTATAATTAAAAAAAAATAACATAATTAAAAATACATATGATAAGGGGTGTATATGATAAAATTTTCTCACTCCTGTTATTCGGTGAACAAATACTACTTTTTATTTTATTTTATTTTAATTTTTAATCTTTTTTTAACTCCATTTTGCATCTTCTACCAAAATAATTTAGTCCTGTTTTTTGGAACAAACAAATTAGCAACATTTGTTCATAATTGTTGTGGTTTTGGATTGGGCTTGAATGATATCTGTTCTGACCAGAAGTTGAGATCCTAACTACTAGGCTCATTAAATTCTTAAAACTAGTAGGTTCAAGAAGATAGTAGAACCTCATAGAATTCTCTGTATCCTTCTCCACTTTTTCTATGGTAGATGATAGAAAGACACTTGTCTCTCTGTCTATGTATCTATATATACCCTGCTCCTTGGCTTCCGTTGCATCATCGAGAAATCATCATTCAAAAGCTTCGATAAATCAATCTCTCAGATACATCACTCTCCGATCTCTCAAACAAAACTATTAGTAGATTCAGAAAATGGCGATGATTCCAAGCATCTTTGGAGGCCGACGAAGCAACGTCTTCGATCCATTCTCTCTCGACATTTGGGATCCCTTCGAGGGTTTCCCCTTCAATAGCGCTTTCGCTAACGCCCCCAACTCCGCAGCACGAGAAACATCTGCAATTGCAAACACTCGAATCGATTGGAAGGAGACTCCGGAGGCTCACATCTTCAAGGTCGATCTTCCGGGGCTGAAGAAGGAAGAAGTGAAGGTGGAAGTTGAAGAAGGAAGAGTTTTGCAAATCAGCGGAGAGAGGAGCAAAGAGCATGAGGAGAAGAACGACAAATGGCACCGCATCGAGCGTAGCAGCGGCAAGTTCCTACGCAGGTTCAGGTTGCCGGAGAATGTGAAGATGGATGAGGTGAAAGCTACTATGGAGGACGGTGTGCTGACTGTGATTGTGCCCAAGGAAGAAGAGAAGAAGCCTGAGGTTAAGTCCATTGATATCTCTGGTTGAGTCGCGCAACTGGTTTTTGAGTGGTGGTGGTTGGATGTTTGAATTGAAATAAACAAGTGTTTGGTGTTTTGTTGTTATTATGCAATATCTACTTGAGTGAGCGTGTTTGTCTGTGTGTGTGTAGTGTCAAACTTGTACTTGGTTATGCACCATGCTTTGTTTGATACTACATAAAATGGAAGAATGTTAATTTTAGTTTCAATTGCTCTATTCCATGTCGGTTACATTTATATCAATTGCTTTGATGCATATGATCATTTGCTGATATCATGTTTTACCACAGGTGGTTTGATTATTTTTTGAACACATAAATTATGTATATATATTGTCATATCAGTTATAGTTGTTTTTATAGAAATAAAATTGTTATGAAATGCGTTTTCAATTTTTCATTGAAAATGTTTAATTGATAATTTGAGTTGTACAAAAAGAACGATAATTATTACCCTTTATTCACTTTTCACTTTTTATTTGGTACTTAGTTTATAAGTTGAACTATACAAACTTATTAGTTATTTGGAATTAAAAGTACAAAAAAACAAAGAAGAAAGATATTTTATTCCTTTATTTATTTATTTTACTTGATACAGCTTGGATTAATTTATTATTTTTAATTATAAATTTAAGTAAATTTTAATTTATGTATAATGGAAGTAATTTTTTGTGATCACTGACAAAAACAAAAAATATTTGAATACATAATTTCTGAGTAAAAATTATTCACTGACCAATCCGTTGGTGGTGTGGTGTGGTGTGGTGTGAATGCAGTAGTAACAACTCATTTTTCATGTCGAAAAATCACCACCTTCATCAAGCAAATCTATCAAATTAGGTGTTTTGAGTTTATTTTATTGCTTTTTTTTTATTTTATTTTATAAAACAAATTAAAATATTATTGTATGTCGTTGATTAGATTGATTATCATTGATTTTTGAAAGTTTTTATTAATTTTTAAAAAATAAAATTATTATATATTTTATTCAATATTTATATGTCAATATGGTTCTATACACATGTGATATAGTTTTATATATGAATATTGTATAGAATATTTGATAATTTATTTGATATCTTTAATGTTAGCTCAATTTTTTCCTCATTAAAAGTCTTAAATAGTTATAAAAAATATACTTATAGCACACTATACTCTCTTTTGAACAAAGGTATTCTTATTAATTACTACCACATTAAACTAAAAGAACATGTAAAACATTATTTTATTTGGGAAAGGTATTAAAACTTAAAATAAAAACATCCTTATTAATTGATACAATAAAAACATCCTTATTAATTGATACAACATTAAATTAAAAGAACATGTTAGACATATATGGCTTTATTTGGGAAATATTTTAAAACTTAAAATTGAACATCTTTTGATTGAAAAATTTATTTTTCATAAAATTATATATTTGAAATCATCTCAATGTATCAAACAAGATTTACGATAAATGTAAAAGAAAATAAATAAAAAAAAAACTAATGCAGTTAGTTAAATTTAGCTAAAGTCAGTGAAATTTTATTAAATTTAAGATTGTAGAATTTAATTGACTTGACGAAATTTTATTATTTTTAAAATAGAGTAAAAATAAATAAAATAGAACACATGTCAACCAAAAAGGTTATTCAACTCTGCAGAGCTAATTGAGGTAATACCAAAATCGGTACCCAAATATATTTTCATTGGCATAAACGACCATTAATAATCCAAAAGAGACCATCGTTGTTGCTACAACACACGTCGGGATCCTCTAGAGTATTTCTCCTTAGAATATTAATAGTGCTTAGAATGTTAATAGTGTTAAAACGACATTATTTTGCTTAAGGCAAAAAATTACTAAAGAAAAACAACACTTTCATCTTCTTTTTTCCTTTTAAAGAAATTAGAAAATATAAATGAAAGAAATCTTCCTTTTAAAGAAATTAGAAAATATAAATGAAAGAAATCAATAGTTTAGAGACAAAACTTATGATAATTTAGGGGATAACTAAAATTATTAAAAAAAATTTTGGGGCGACATTTAACAACTAAAAATTTGAAATTCGAGAGCTTTCGAAAAAGTGAGTGAATAATTGAGGGCAAGAGTTTGGGCCTACAATTTAAAAAAAGGGTAAATTACATTGATATCTTCTGAAATTTGGTCTAATTATATCTCACTCCTGATGTTTTGAAAATTATATTCTCACCCCTGTGGTTAATAGTCTCATTTCACAAATCTCTTACTTATATAAAAGATAACAACTCCTAATAAAAAAAATAGAAGAAATTATATTGAAAAAAAAAAGAAAGTAAAGTAAAAGAAAGGAAAAAAAAAAAGAGTACATGAGTTCAATATCTTCATTTTGTCTGAATTATTACAAGGATAGGGGGTTAGTTTAACTTTTTAAACATCAAGAATGAGATGCATTGAACTCAAATTTTAGGGGTGTAAGTGTAATTTACTCTTAAAAAAATTGAAGAGAGCCCATCAAAACTACCCAATGCTATAAATGGGCCTTCTGGCCCAATAGTGCCTCCAACTAAAAAGCTCCATAGACCCAAACCCTTTCTGAGGCCCAAATTTTATTTTATTTTTCAACCCTTCCTATAAGTACAACTCATCTCTCTAATCCGCAACTAGGGTTTTAGCTTTCTTCTACGAAGGCAGGCGTCTCTGGTAGTGTTCGATTCTCCCAAAGCCTCCAGCGAAAATGGTGAAGGGACGCCAAGGAGAGCGTATAAGGTCTCAGATCCCTAACAACCCTACTTCTTTCCCATCAATTCTCTCAATTTGACTATATATGCACTAATAATCATTGAAATTTCGTGTTTGTGTTCAGGCTTTATGTCAGAGGAACCATTCTCGGCTACAAAAGGTAACATATTATCAATCTTTGAAGTCTTTGTTGGGATTTGATTTGTTGTGCTGATTGGTGTGTTTTTTTTTAGGTCGAAATCGAATCAGTACCCAAACACTTCGTTGATTCAGATCGAAGGAGTGAACACAAAGGAGGAGGTAGATTGGTACAGAGGTAAGAGGATGGCGTACATCTACAAGGCTAAGGTGAAGAAGAATGGATCGCAGTATCGTTGTATTTGGGGAAAGGTCTCTAGGCCTCACGGTAACAGTGGTGTTGTTCGAGCTAAGTTCAAGTCCAATCTCCCTCCCAGATCCATGGTATAAACCTACAATTATATACTCATATATGTGTGTGTGTGTGTGTGTGTGTTATGAAAATGTCTTTGCTGTGTGAGAGGTGTGATTTTGATTTACGAAATTATCGTTGTTTTTTGCAGGGAGCTAGGGTTAGGGTTTTCATGTACCCCAGCAACATATGAGGTACCATTCCCAGACCTTAGTGTGTGTTTTTTTGTTGTGTTTATATTATATTTAGAAATCTGTGTGGTTAGTTAACACTCTGTTTGGAACCTAGGAGAGAAAATAAAAGAAACGATTACTTAACTAATAAGAGAAAAGAAAAAAAAAATAATTGTGATTTCTCATTTTTTTTTTTTTGGGATAAGGAAGAAATAAAAGAAAGAAATGATTATGATAAGAAAAAAATTATTTTATATTATATTACCAAAATAATCTTTTTATATTTTCATTCATTTTATTTCTTTTATTTTTATAGGGACAAAATTTGTGTTATGAAAATAGTCGATTCTTTTCTCTCATAATCTCTTCCCTTTTGGAAAGATTGAAAATGAGGTTTACATCTTAATTTCTTCCCATTTCTCTCCACCTAGGTTATCCAAACAACTAAGAAAAATGTATCTCTCTCCATTTCTTTTCTTCTCTTCAAATCACTCAATCCAAACATAGCGTAAATGTATTGTGTGTTTATGATGAGTTATTGGGTTTGATAATGTCATTTTCTGTTTTTGTAGTTTGTATTGGTATAGTTTGTTTGTTGATTTGCATTTCTACCGATTTTTTATTTTTTTTTAAAAAAGGCAAGCTTTTGTAGGTAATGCTGTGTTGATTTGCATTTCTACTGATTTTTGATATAAAAAAAAAATGATAAGCTTTTGTGCTTAGTGTTGTACACGCTCTATGGAGATAAAACGCTTGCCAATGTAGACATTTGATTACTGAATGACAGTGTCATGTGCCATTTATTTTGGATTTATGGTAAAACATGCTTACTTGACACATGATTCAGGAGTTACATGATGTTGGGTTAATAAATATTTCTACTTGGTATGTTTTTCCTGTGAATATAAAAAAAATTATAGTAGTATAGATTCAAAGAGGAGATAGGTTCAATATCAGAGGTATAATATGGTCTTCATTTCATGTTATAGCAAATGATATTTGCCGAATCAAAGATGAACCAAATCTTTCACCAAATTTGTAACTGTCATATTTTGACAAAATTCGAAGGAGTAATGATTGTATATATATATATATATTTTTCCCCTGCAAACAATGATTAAAACTTGTTTTTGGAGTAACTTTGGAACTTTTTAAAAAGATTTGGTGAGAAAAAGAAATTATGGATTGCAGTTTTCCATATCAGTTCCAGATTTAAACTAAATTTCACTTAAATTTGATGAAAATAAGAGAGTAAAGATTGGAGATGCTCTTTAGAGAGATTTTCTATTTAAACCAGTGGAATTAGGAACTGTGGAGATGTTCCCATTTGGGAATATATATGGTGATTTTTTAATTGACTTCTCATAAACGAACCTTTGTAATTTGGTTCTTAATTTTGCATAAATATGAATGCTTGTAATGCTTACAGGTTTTCTAGGGAATTTGTATTATGGTTAATAGTGATGATGTCTATACATCTGATAAATACTAGAAGCTTTTTTTTTGGGTAAATAGTATAGTGATTTCTTGAGTGTGGTTATCAAAATATAATTATCGCTTGGCTGATTCTGTTTTTGATTAAATAGAATGGTCATTTTATAGTGTTGCTTTTGTGATAATTTTTTTATATATGTTTGCACTTCTGATTCCTCCAACAACCTGAAAATCCAAGATTGTGGTTTCTCCAAATTACTGCCTAGTGCTGTTTTGTTTAGCTGTTATACATTGCCTAATTCCACTCAGATGTCTATCTTCTTTCCCTTTCAGTGTCTCTAGGATCGTGCAGATTGTTGTCAGTGATATCAGAAGGATTTGAATGCCAAATTGAGATCATTGGTGACTTTGAGGCACCTGCATTTTAATTAATCGTTACAGATAAGACTTGAAAGTATCTTGTGTTTTCTGGAGCTGGAGTTTGTTTGGCATCATTTTTGTTTGTTTAGTATCAATGATAGAACCTTTGAAAGATGACTCTTTTAAACTATTTGGATTTATGCAACCATTTGTTATTTGAATTGTGCAGTCTAATCACCGTCAAATTGATTGAATTACTTGTGCTGCATTTGTTTCCCCTGACCTTGTCTATGCAATGTTTACCTATTTAGCACAAGCAAATGTTGGTGCTCACTGTCCCCCCTATGTACCAATGTTCAACTTGTTGCTTGGTGGTGCATGTTAATGGTGATAGTTGTAAGTCTTGTGTTTATTGTCATCACTGGCATTGCTTTCCCCCACTTGTGCTTGGTAGGTTTTGCTTGCATGTTTTTCCAAGAACAATGGCCCAAAATTTGCACATTTTTCATTCCTGTGTTTGCTTTTTAGTTCTTGTGAGTTTGTGTTTGCTGTGTTGTATTTTTTGTTGGGTTTGTGTTCAAGCCTAATGATGTTTGTGTTGTTTTCTAGGATCAATTACTCAATCTCTGTTGTATTTGCTTGCTTGAACTGGTTTCTCTGGGTTAAGGGTTCACAGAATAGAAAATTGTTTTAAGAGCTCTAAAATATTGAGCTCTAATAGTTCTAAAAATATTGTAGTCCCAATTGATGTGATGTTTTACTCTTTGTTTTTTTTTAATTTTCAGCACTGCCAGCTCATTAGAGCTGGCTTAGTGATCCCTTTTTAGTGGTATGTAGCACCACTGATCTTTAGCCCATCAAAGTTGCAGTGGTGTTACATATCACTAAAAAAAGATCACTAAGCCAGCTCTAATGAGCTGGCAGTGCTGAAAATTAAAAAAAAAAAAAACAAAGAGTAAAATATCACATCAATTGGGGTTACAGTATTTTTAGAGCTATTAGAGCTCAATATTTTGGAGCTCTTAAACAATTTTTGCTAAAGATATTTGAGTGACTTTAAAAATAATTTGGATTTAATCATTCAAAAAGATGTCACTGAAAATATTTTTTTTCACGAGTATTATTAAGTTGATTGCATTATAACTGTCACAAGAGGAAAGCTTTAATGTATTGTGGGGTGTTTGGCCCAGTTTTTTTTACTCAACTTATTGCTTTTAGTTTAAAAAAAGTTAACTAATTTGTTCCAGTTTAATCATACCAACTTAACTTATAACAGTTTTTTTTGAAGGTAAATAATCTGATTTTGAGAATATGTTCCAAGGGTGCTTTTGATTCTCTTTTTAAGTGGCGAGAGTCAAAATTGCTTAAATGTGCTTCACCAATTATATCAAATTATAATTATATAAACTACAAAGGTATCATTGTTCACTCTGATAGAGAGAGCTAGGCGATTTTCGACGGTGAGGCAATTTGTCGTCGTGCCTTTTCTCTCTCTCTCTCTCTGTCTTCAACAGCATACTTATGCCATTGCCTCACCCGTCTTTTACGCCGTCAACGCCTCTGTTTTGTGGCTTTGGCGACACCACCATAGTGCCTCATTTTTAGGGCTGTTCAAAAATCCGTTTAAACTGGTAATTCAGACTGAATCAGATCGAATCATACGTTTTGATTCGGTTCTATTAAGAATTGGTTTCAACTTATTGCTTTTAGTTTAAAAAAAGTTAACTAATTTGTTCCAGTTTAATCATACCAACTTAACTTATAACAGTTTTTTTTGAAGGTAAATAATCTGATTTTGAGAATATGTTCCAAGGGTGCTTTTGATTCTCTTTTTAAGTGGCGAGAGTCAAAATTGCTTAAATGTGCTTCACCAATTATATCAAATTATAATTATATAAACTACAAAGGTATCATTGTTCACTCTGACAGAGAGAGCTAGGCGATTTTCGACGGTGAGGCAATTTGTCGTCGTGCCTTTTCTCTCTCTCTCTCTGTCTTCAACAGCATACTTATGCCATTGCCTCACCCGTCTTTTACGCCGCACCACCATAGTGCCTCATTTCTAGGGCTGTTCAAAAATCTGTTTAAATTGGTAATTCGGACTGAATCAGATCGAATCATACGTTTTGATTCGGTTCTATTAAGAATTGGTTTGGTTTTGGATTAAGAAATATGATAACCGTAAAAATAGTTCGGTTAATAGATTTTATGAAAAATCGCGGTTCGAACAGAACCGGATTTTAAAAGATATATATATATATATAAAATATGAAGTTTTATTTTTATTAATTGGTTTTTTATAATTTTCATGATATTAGGATGGTATAGATATGTAATATTAAGTAATGTCTTAATATTATTAGTTTTTATCATGAGTTAAATGTAATTAGTTTAAGTAATTATTTTGCTAATATTAACAATTTATTCTCATAAATAAAATTTTTTGGAACCGTAAATCAAATCGAAATCGAACCGTTTTTTCGGTTTGGTTCTGGTCCGATTTTACAAGTGTAACGGTCTGGTTTGGTTCTCAAAATCACAGAACCGTTAAGATCTGTTCGGTTCTTGGATTTTCTGAGAACCAAACCAATCCGGACCGTGTACACCCCTACTCCCTTCGCTTCACGTCTTCTCTTCATCGCATCGCCACCATCGCACTCAACTACCACTGTGATATCTCTGTCTCCCACGCTTTTTGCAACCGTCGCAATTGCCATGATCATCATCGCAATCCGCCATCACTACAAACCTCAAGACCAGATTGTGACAACAAGATCCTCAGATCTAGGGTTTTTGGTGGTGGTGGAGGAGATGGATGAGCTGAGAGGGCTTCTTGCAGACCACCGGCGGCCGCCAGTGTTCCCTGCAGACTATCGATGATGGCTAGGGTTTTGCAAAATTGTAATGAAAAAAAAGAAAAAAAGAAAAATTTATTTCAATTAACTTCCATTTAATTTTAAAAAAAATATTTCACAGTGGTAATTTTAAAAAAAAAATATTCTCAGTCAGTTATACTAATTTAGTCCAAAAAGTCGATGCAATATTAAGGTTTTAAGAAAAAAATCATGCTCAAAAAATTAGTATAACTGACTGAGAATGCTGAGTGGATTGTTGATATGATTATTAGAAAATTCGTAATAACTACCGATAAGTTATTTAAGTGGTGCTAATTGAAAATATTAATCCAAATATCAAAATTTTGAGATGGTTCGTTCACTGTATGTATGCTTGAGCAAGATGACTGATTTGATTTGTCAAAGCTGCAATGTTTCATATTAAGGTTGTGCCCAATTGAATTAGTCCATTGAAAATTGGCTATACTATCCATGATCATGAATGCAGGTCTCGTATGACTTGCAAGCATCCAAAGAGCCATATTGTCTGGAACTCATAAAAATTTTAAATTCAACTTAAATTGAATGAAAATTTTTTGCAAAAATTGAGAAAAATTTCCCCTGAAATGGCCGTGACGCATTAATTTTGGGATTCCAAATGCAAAGCTACAACAAAGTGCTGATTTTTCAAAGTCTTATCAGTGATTACACAATATGTTCAAGCCTTTCCGGCCATACTTCAATTTTCTTTTTCAAGCCTTTCAAAATCCAAATTAAGACTTTAAATCTAAAATCACAATGTGATTTATATCCTAAAGTGAAACATGATTTACCAAAGCCTTTCAAATCCAAATTAAGACTTTGAATCAGAAAGCAAAATGTGATTTTTATTCGAAAGCGAAAGGTGATTTATTTTTGAAAAATTACTAGAGGTAATTTGATAAAGTTATTTTAAATTTATGAAAGGATTATAATTTTAATAAATTTTACTACTTATTTATAATTATTTTTAAAATTTTACACACATCTGAAATTATTCCTTTTAATTTTCTGGTAATGAATAGATTATAGACGATTATATATATCCATTTGTGCATCCTTTTCATTCTCTTTATTTCAAAACCTTGAAATTTGTGTGTACAAATAAAATGTGAGAAAATTGTTTTGAGATGAAATGGAAACATACGAATCACACATGGGTTATGCTATTATACACACCTCAAAGGTGGACTACCATATGTAATTGATGATATTTGTGGTACTAATTATCACAAATATCATAATTAAATCCTTCTAACTAAAAAAATAAATAAATTAATGAGTCATAATCAAACATCACATAAAACGATATAACTAAAATAATAATCATAATTGATCATAAATAACATTACAATGAGTTATAAGTAATACTATAATAAGTCATAACTAAAGATCACAAATAACATAACTGGGGCATATGGCACACCCTTTAAATTGAGGTGTGTATTATAGAATTTCCCATCATATATTAGGGGAAATTCTATTATACACACCTTTTAAAAGAAGTGTACCAAGTGGCATCTAATTTTTGAACAATTATATTAGTGAATGACACTTGAGAAAATATTGTTTAACATACAACAAATATTTTGCGTTTGGTTTAGTTTTGAAATCAGTTTTGGATTTTGAATTTTTAAAAGAGTTTTGAAAATTGAAAACTTATTTAGTTATGAGTTTTTGAAAATAGTTTTTAGAAAATTGAATTCAAAATTTGTTTAGTTATGAGTTTACAAAATTAGTTTTTGAGTTTTTTTAGAGTCTTGTGTTTTTTTGTCTTGTAGTCAAAACGTTTTTACAATATTGAGCAGTGATTGGTAGCTCGAAATCAAGGAGCTCGAATCCCCTGAATTGAAAAACGATGTCGTTTCGTCGTTTTGATTTTTTTTTTTTTTTTCAATCAGAAAATCAGAAGAAGAAGAAAGAAGAAAGAAGAAGAGAAGAAGGCAGAGGCAACGGCGGCTGGGCGGAGGCGGAGGCGGACGAGCTGCGACGATCGGCGAGGTGATCTGCAACGAGCTGCGACGATCGGACGAGCTGCGACGACGATCGAGCTGCAACGACGATCGGCGAAATGGAGGAGGCGGAATGGAGGGGCCTCTCTCTCTCTCTGTGTTTCCCTCTCTCCTCTCCTCTCTCTTTCTCCCTCTTTCTCTTCTCCCTTTCTTCTCCATCTGTTTTTCGGGCTGTTCGGGGGGGAAATTTTCGGGGGAAAAATCATTTCCGTTACAATATTATAGTTAAGTTTGTTTACTTCTTTCATATACATAATCTCAATGTTTTTTTAGATGCATCTAATATTACCTATACGATTTCGTTTCACACTGCATTTTTTTTTTATGAATGTTTTAAAAATTTTAACACTTCTTTTTTAGTTTTATATC